AAACATACCTATGCGTACCAATGACAGACCAAGTAATGATTCCACCCAAGTTTACCCAGCTTGTAAATAATTGAGTTTATTGTTTGGGCTTACTTACAGAAGAATGGATGAGGGATTATTTGCAGCGTGGATGGCAACCTCCTCAAAGCTGCATAATGGAGGATCCCTTTCAGTTAACCTTCCACCCACTTGGGCACCCCTTGAGACCACATGAAAATGGGGTAGGCTGTGGGGAGCAGGAGGGAGTGAAGAGCTAAAATCTCAGGTGGAGGTCCAGTGGCCTTGCATGTCAGGAAATAAAGCCTGAGGAGAGTGTGTCTGTGCGCCTGACTGTTCCTGGGGGAAGTTTCCTGGAAGCCCACTATGTACAGCCAGTCCCGCCTGCTCAGAGCTTTGTGGCTTAGCTTACTATAGGATATCCTGCTAGCATCTGGGGGCTCTGAACTGCTCTGGAAAGGGACTGTCCATTTCCAAGGCCAGCCTGGGTCCTAGGGTCCATGTTTAAACCGGCCCGAGGAGAGTGATGAGGAGCTAAGGAGCACATGCCAAGAGCCTGAGAACAGAAGGCCTTCCTTGCTTAAGATCTCCAGGGCATCCTCCTTCCCTCTGCGGACCAGGCTTTTTCTTTTAAGCCACCAACCAGCTCCCAAATCATGACAGAAACTTATTAGTTTTGAATGCTCGGCGTAGCTTAGGCACGTTTCCGGCTAGCTCTTTTAACTTAAATTAACCTGTTTCTCTTTATCTACCTATTGCCTCAGGGCTTATTGCCTTTCTTACTTCTGTATGTCTTACTTTCACTGCGTCTCTGTGTCTGTCTGTCTGGCTTCTGCCTGGCTTCTTGCCCCAGGCATCTCAAATTCTTGTGTACTATCTGGGTCTGGATTGCTGGGACTCCAACACTGTGGTTTGTGAAAGCGGAGAATCTCTGCCCCATCCAGAGAGGTATGCATATTCAGACCCAGCTCCTGTCGAGGTGGAGCAAAGGACCCTGGCTTTAGTCCTTGATCTAGTACTGACATCTCTGGCACCCTAGGCCAGCCATTTCCCCTTCCGAGGCCTCAATTTCCCTATTAGTAAAATGCTCACAGGAGGTAGAAGAGAGTCTTTGCATTATGAGACATTCTACACAGGGCTTAAAGCCTCACCATCTTGTGCTTTTCTAATATGGAGGAGAGTTGATTACTGGAGGCCCTGAAGGTTGAGCCCAGACTGTGAGAGCTCTACAGGAGAGGCCAAGCCTTTGAGGTCCTGCCGGAGAGGCTGGTCTTGGAGGCAGAAGACTCTTGGGTGATTATAGGAGCCCTCCCTCTACCTAGAATATTCCTCCTGCTGGCCTCCATGAAGCCCTCTATGAACCCCTCCCAGGTCATCCCCAGATAGCTTTTCTTACTCTCCTCCTTGCTGGATTCTCGCTTTCTCTTCTGCCTTCACCTCTTCTTGCTCCCTCCTGTCTTTTTCTTCACTTTCCATCTCTCTCTCTGCTTTCACCTCAGGGCAGTGTCCAGGTGGGGGGAGGTGGGGTCCTGAAGCTTGTCCCCCCCCCCCCCCCGTCCTCACACAGATGCATTTGTGGCTGTGTAGAGTATTTGTCTTATTTTCCTGCAGCAAGTAGCTCTGAGACCAAGGTTTGAATATTAGTGATTTATTTATTCAAGAGATGACCTCAGGAAGAAAGAAGTGGGAAAGAGGATGGGAAGGGAGGTACCTTATACAGGGTACACTATACAGCCTCACTGAACAGCTGGCCAGTGGTCTGTACTGAGTGACTGTTTTCAGGGAAGTAGTAGGTCTCCCCCAGACACCATCTGCAAATGGGTGTAAGTGAGGGCTGCAGTGGGATTCATGTGTCAGGAGCTGAGCTTAGCGAGGACCCGACCTAGCTGTCATCTGGTCTTCAGCAAGACTGAGGGCTAAGCTAAGGGGATTCTTGCTTCAGGCCCTTGAAATCTGGTGCTTTTGGGCCTGGCTAGGGGTTTCCCATGCACCCCAGAACTTCTGCTTATCTCATTAGCGGACCAGCAAGACCAGAGACAGCAGGTATCCCAAACCTAAGGAATAAGGTGCACAGAAGGCCATGCATAGAATAGGTGTGCATACATGTGTGCATATGTGTACATCAGGTCTACACCCGTGTTGGTGTGTATGGTTCATGCATTTATGTCTGCATTATGTGCACTCTCATCTGCATATGGTGTGGTTAGGTTTTCAGGTAAGTATGTATTCTCACACAGTATGTATAGCTGGTGTGTGTGAATGTTTCTATGTGTGTATGAGTGTGCATGGTGTGTGTATGAGTGTACACGGTTGTGTGTGTGTGTGTGTGTGTGTATGTGTGTGTGTGTGTGTGTGTGTCTGTGTGTATACGTACAAATGCCTGTGCTGAAGAGGCTTTTTCACTCTACTCAGCGGGTGACAACAGCCTCCTGCATCCCAGGGCAGCCCACCTTTGCCCTCTCTGCTTCTGTCTGCCTCTTGCTTGCTCCTTGCCTGTTCCCCTGATTCGAGTTCCCTGCCCAGCCCCCTCCTTCCACGCAGCATCGTTCTTTCATAAACTCAGCCTGGACATGGTTTCCATGGTGTTTTGATAAAAACTGGAATTCAGATCATAATTGCAGGGGGGGGGAAGGGAGGGTTGGGGAAGGAGGCTTCGCACACACAGGAAGCTTGGCATTCTTTCTTCTTTCAATGTGTTTAGAACATAGGATTCGCTCCCAAGCCCTGCCCTGTTGCCTAGCAATAGTGATGGAGCTGGCAGTCTCCTCCTCTGTCCAGGGCGCAGAATGGGAGACACACTCACATGATCAGAGCTGGGAGGGGCTTTGCTAGGATTGTAGGTTCAGTGGAACGAGTAGTAGTGAGGGGCCAAGGCTACGTGCTGGTTGTCTCTGAACCTCACTTTTGTGACCAGCCTGGAATCCCACCAATAGTGTTTCATTCCTTTGGTGTTTCTGTCTATGTAGTTCTTGGATCTGAATGCCAGCCAGTTCCCCAAGCCTGTGAGATGGAGTTGAAGGACTTCTCCGTGGTATGGGAGAGTTTCACACTATCATCAGAAAGGGGATGGAGTCAGCCTGAGGAAGCCAGACAGGATGAATGAGTGAATGAATGAATGAATGAATGAATGGGAGGCTGGGGAGGATATGGTGACTCTTGGACTTTAGGAAGAATCCCATTAGAGCAGTTGTTAGGAGTGCAGATTCCTAGATCTGAGCTCCTGGTTCCACAAGGCGAGGCAGATGCGGGAGGCTGATGCCAGCAGGTTTACGTGCTTCTGAGGGTATGAAATCCTTTGAGGACTCTGGGAGAAGGGGGAAGAGATCCTGGGGGCTCTGTTGGAGACCTTTCTTCATGTCTGGCAGGAGAACTTTTTAGTAGACAGTACCCTGCCTCTGCCCTGGTGACCTGGGCAGTGCTGGAGTGTGAGTCCCTGACTGTGGTAGAAGGAGAAGAGGTGGGGTAGGAAAGGGATGAGGCAGGTCATACTCCAGTCCAGAAAGCATCTAAGTGGGCGCTGGGCAGGGTGGCTCCAAAGCCAGTGGCCCTGGGTCTTCAATTTATATAAAGAGTGTGTGTACCCAGACATACATGCATATAACCACCTACCCCATCCAATATTTAAGCAAATGGACACAATTCTCATCTCTACCTGTCTTTGGGTACTCTCCCAATCTGTTCAACCTGCAAAGAAAGCAACTTTACTCTCTCTTCAAGGAGCAGGAAGATGGAGGGAGCTGGACAGGTGAAAGGCAGCATCTGGCTGTTCCTCTGTGGCAGAAAACACTGTGTGGGATTATGTGCTGGCTAGATTTATGTCAACTTGACACAATCTTGAGTCATCTGAGAGGAGGAAACCTCCATTGAGAAAATACCTTCATAAGATAGTACTGTGGGCAGCCTATAGAGCATTTTCCTAATTAGTGATGATGGGGGAGGGTCCAGCCCATTGTGGGTGGTGCCATGCTTGGGCAGGTGGTCCTGGGTTCTATAAGAAAGCAGGCTGAGCAAGCTATGTGGAGCAAACCAGTAAGCAGCACTCCTCCATGGCCTCTGCATCAGCTCCTGCCTCCAGGATCCTGCCCTGTGTGAGTTCCTGCCCTCACTGTTTTTGATGATGAACAGTGATGTGGAACTGTGAGTGAAAACCCTTTTCTCCCCAAGTTGCTTTTGGTCATGGTGTTTCATCACACAATAGTAAATAACTGAAACAGATTATAATCCCAAGACAGAGAGAGAGAGAGAGAGAGTCTAGGTAGGTTAGTGATAGTGCAGCTCAGTACTGAGGGTCCAAAGAGCCAAGTGGTTGGGGAGTCAGCTCTGTAGGCAGGAGGGTGGCAGCTTCTGAGGCTGGGGAAAGGGTCCTGTTGGCTTTGAGTTGAGTCTCCTTTTCTAGAGGTAAGACTGGAAAGTGTTCATGGTCGACATCATCATCATTGTTATCATCATGCTGTTATGATGTTCGGTTGCCTAACATCTGAGTGCAGCTCTGCTCAGCTTGGGCCACTTGACATTTGAGTGAAAGCCAGGAAGAACTGTTCATTTTTTCCCTCATTCTGGATGTAGATTTCTTAACTTTGAGGGGAATTCTGTTGTCTAAAATTCCAAAATTTTATTTTTTAAAATTTAACCAGCATTTAAAAGCAGCCATCATTCAACTGTCCATCGAGCTGCCTGCTGAGAACAAGTGAGAAGCCTGGCAGGTGGGCAAGGGAGGTGGGCAAGGGAGGTGGGCAGGGAGGTGGGCAGGGAGGTGGGAAGGGAGGTGGGCAAGGGAGGTGGGCAGGGAGGTGGGCAGGCAGCAGGTGTGTGTGCTGGGGGCAGGGACTTTTCACTCTTCGGGAAGGTAGGCAGGGAGGTGGCCAGGATCCCTTCAGTCTTCAGGAGATAAGACCCCCACCCATTGCTTATAAGAAGCAGATATAAGCCCACATGTTGCGTCAGCCCTGCCTGCCTTAATGAATGGATGGGTGTGTGAATGGACGCACACACAAAGGCCCAAATTGGGTGTCCACAGCTTCCTTTATTCTTTATGGGGGAGGTCTGGGGGAGAGTGTTCTTCAAAGTGTGGTAGGATGGGGGATATTCTGTCATATATTTGAGGGCACGTGACTTGTGTCCACATCACTACTGGGCTCATGAAACTCTGGATTTGTGGCCCAGACACCAAGGTCAGCCTCTGGAACTATTTCCATCCTGACTTGGCCCTGAGCTGAGGATACCAAGCCAGGTCACAGGTGCATCTGGTGGTGCATGGATGTGTCCCTAACTACGTCAAACACACAGACAAGAGGACAGTAAGGACTTCTAGTGACAGCCACATCATTTCTGGGATGTTGTATAATAGGGCATTGGCTCTACCCAGCCTCAGGGTATCTCACTTCTCTTTACTCCAGACTGGGTCCTTCACGACAGTCCCAGTCAGCTAAGAGGGGGAAACTGAAGGTCAGAAGAACAGCTTGCCCAAGGTCTGGGAATCCAGGATAGGGACCTGGGGCTGGGCTGCCTGGCCAGGGTATAAGTCCAAATCCTCCTGAAAAAGCATTGGCCTGTGACCCACTCACTGGGCAAGGTGGCTCCACAGGGCTGGGAGGGGCTCCCATGTAGATAGTTCTTGGGTTGAGAGGCCCCACCTCTGGGCTGATCATGTCTTCCTAGTATTGGCAATGAGCCTGATTTGCCCAAGCCCTGCCTTTGATGACCTGAGGGGTCATGTTATTGGCAGAGTGGCTATATCTGGGTGACCACAGATACCCCAACATTCAACCCAATGTTTTATAGTCCTACAGCAGTACTGTTCTCACAGGCCAGCTGCCCATCTATTCATTTCTTTTCCAGACAATGGGGCCCAAGACTCTTTTGCAAAAGGCTGAGCTTGGTTCTCTGGCCCTCCTGCTAGTCCTACCCTGCTGGTCCAGGGCATCCTGGGACCATCTCCAAGTGCTCAGCCAACTTTTTTGGCTGAAGGCTAGATGGTTCTGTCTTGTTTGGAGACAGCTCCCAGAGATGAAAGGTGCCTGCTTTTCTGGGCGCCTAGAACCTGGGCCAGGGCGGCTACTTGGCAGCTGGTAACAAATTGACATATGCCTCTGTCTGGGGCTGCTGGCCAGCTGGATGCTGGGGTGTTGGCCTTTCCTTACCTGCACAATTTCAGACACTGGCATCTTGCTGAGGACCTGGCTCAGTGCCCTACTCAGGAGTCCTGCCCTGAAGCCAGCAGCTGCCAGACTTTAATCTCTACAGCTGTATAGAGACGCAGAACTGTGTATCCCTCCCCCTGCAAAGTCACCTGGACAGGGGAGGCCAGGCCCCACTTATCTGCCATCCTTTTGCAGATCCAAGAGGTCAAGGTGCTAGTGCAGGTGTCCCTGCAAGGCCACTTGTTCTTGTGAGGACAGGCCTAAAACAGGAGTCCCAGGTCTGTATGACTCCAGTGAGAACTTGGGTCTCTTTAGTGGGCTATAGCTGTCCTGGGTGGAGACAGAGGTGTGGATCCTCTCAGCTTTCCGCTGTGGACCCTGAGCCTTAAGGAGAATGTTGGGGATTTCTCTGGACCACTCTGGGAGAGGCAGTGTGCCCTCCTGCCAAGGAAGGGTCTGGACATGAGGCTCAGAGAGAGCCACAGGATCTGCTGGGCCAGGGCAGGAGTAGAGGCAGGAGGAAGCTGACATGGAGCCTATGCCTATGAACTTGGAGCCCAAGTACAGCTTCAGTCACTGCCTGGCCCAGCTGGTGCGGCCCCGCGGTGCTGTGATGACTGCAATAGCCCATCTGCCCGAGAGCCCAGGAGGTGCTTTCATTTCTTCTTTCTAAACATCCATTAGTCTGGGAACAAAGGAGGCTATCCTTGGTGAGTGCTAATTTCTTCTTGTTAGAGGCCTTTTGGGGAGCAGGAAGAGAAGCAGCCACTGTTCTCATTTTCTAAATTGGAGGTAGGAGAGGGATAGGAGCAAGAACAGAGGATTGGGGAGGAGGAGGGGGCAGAGGAAGAAAAGAAAGAGAAACTGGAAAGAAAGAAGCTTCCAGGTGGAGGGTGCCCCAGCCTCACTGGCACGGTTTAGACTGGCCACTAGTTGGCCCCGTGGAGGCCTAGGAGGGTGCTGCCCTGAACAGAGGCTGAGGCCTCCTCCCAGCCTCCTCAGGGCCTAGTACATGGTCTCCCGAGTGGCGCTGGTGGAGAAGGCATGGTTGCTGGACATGCTGTTCGGCTTCCTAGAGAACGTTGGCCTCTTCTTCCGGTGCCGCCAGCCAGGACACAGGCAGGCCAGTGTGGACAGGAAGACCTGGCGGAAGTTGGCCGAGACCAGGTTGTAGAGGATGGGGTTGATGGCAGAGCTGATGTAGAAGAGAGCGTTGGTCAGCATGTAGAAGTAGTGGTAGAAGTCGAAGAGGAACCTGTGGGAGGACAGGAATTTAGACCCCAATGGCCCTCAGCATGTACAGGGAGCAGACATGGGCAGGATGGTGGCCTGGGTTTCCAAAGCATCCCTAAGGCCTTTCTCCTGGGGTTGTGATGGATCTGGCTTTGACACAGCCCCACTTGGGCATGGCTCCTCCACTTTGCCCACTTCTCCCAGCAGTACATCTGAATTGTCCATAGAGTCCTATTCAGAGGCTCATTGTCCTAAGGCTTCAGGGCCCACTGGTCCCTAACCACATAACAAAAACAGGAACCACTAAAGCTCCTGATGCCTGTGTATGTTGTGTCCACTCATGAGAATCTTGATCCCCACCCCCAGGCATCCCTGAGCTTCAGAAGCCTTCACGGGGATGTTCCTGTGCTGGCTAAAATCTCCCTGTGAGCAGAAACTATGTCTTGTCCACTGATGCCTATTATTCTGAAGGTAGGTGCTGTTACTCCTGTTTCTGGTAGCTCTGTTCTGGGTACAGAAAGAGTTCGCAGAGCAGGCCTGCCAAGTGGCTGGCTCTCAGATGGCATCCATCAGCTGACTCATTTGCACAAACGGGGTTCGTGCTGGTCACCTGCTTTCCCTCTGGGAGCCTGACTCAGGGTAAGCAGATGGGGCCTCTTTGACCAGTATCCTCTAAGAGCCTGGACATCGAGTCTCCCTGAGTTGCCCAGTTAACACCATTCACAAGTGGCTTGCAGCTGGGAGTTGAATCTGTCTGTCTCCCCTGACTTTGCCTCGTTTCCTTTTGTTGTGACAAGTCGCAGCACTGTGTAAGTCTCTTGAGCCCTCAAGTCCAACCCTGGGGTGGCTGTGACCCAAAGGACCTGCAGGTCTGACACAAATGTCTCAGGCATGGCCTTGAGGATCTGCTGCCTGCTCTGACCTCTGGGCTACAGACATCCTCATGCAGCCGTCCTCCCTGGAACCACAGGCTCACAACAGCCCCACCTCATTCCAAACTGGCCTGTGGGTGGTGGGGCTCGTGGTAGCCCTGCCCCCGTCTCTTGTAGTCCAAGCACTCACGTAGTCCACTGCTCATCCGAGATATAGCAGAACATGAGACGCCGCACGTGGTAAGGCAGCCAGCAGACCACAAAGGCAATGACAACAGCACCTGCAAGAGTCCTTGGTCTCAGAAACATGGAGAGAGCCACAAGAGACAAGACGGCATTCTGAGGGCATGGGCCTTTCCCCTTTTCTTCCTTCCTCCCTTCCTTCCTCCCTCCCTCCCTTCCTTCCTTCCTTTCTTTTTCTTTTCTTTCTTTTTTTGGTAGTAAAGACACCTGGTGTAGCGGTGTCTGTAACCCAGCGCCAGGAGACTGCTGACCAGTGCGGAGACATGTGCATACCTAGCACTCCTGGGCAAGCCGGCACAGCTGAACCAGTGAGTTCCAGGTTCATGAGAGATACCATTTCAAAAGAGAAGGTAGAGAACAAAAGAGGAAGACATCTGATGTCAGCCTCTGGCTTCCACACACACGTGTACATACACACGCCCACACAAAGCAAACACACAAAACAACCAAAGAGATGCAAGAACGTTAGATGTTGCAGCCACTGTGATAAACAGCAATTGCAAAAACAGAATAACATTCAACACATGATCCAGCACCCCTATTTCTGGGAATCAACTTGAAAGAATTGAAAGGAATGCTTATACTCCATGTTCACAATAGAATCATTCCTAACTGATCACAGAAGTGGAAGAGACCTGGGAGCCTGTGGACAGACAGGTGGAGCTGCTACCACGCCCTGTCTGTGGTCATGTGGTTCATGCACACACAGGAATGTGTACTTCTGAAACATGAAGTGAGCACTGTACCATGGAATATTATTCAGTATTAAATAGGCAGGAGATTCTCATCTAACATATGCTCCAACACAGACAAACTTGGAAGATGTTTTGTATATCAAGACATACTAGCCACCAACTCTTATATGATTCTGTTTATACCTCCCAGGAGTCAGACCCCCAGGACGGGCGGGGGGACAGAGGAGGGGTCCTGCACATAGGTGGTGAGGTGCAATTACTACTTAGCAGTGTGAGTTGCTTAATGTCCCACACTGAGCATCTAACAATGATTATGGTAAGATATTTTATGCTATGCACTTTTGGTATAAAATTAAAAATCCCCAAAAATGCACTTGGGAGAGCTCCCTGAAAACAGAGGATGTGGGACCCTGAGGGTCAGCACAGTGGTCTGAGAATCAGGATGGCTCTGCCCTTGGCCTGACATTTGTGGGGAGCTTTGGTTTGTTGGCCTCTGTATTCTTATCTATACAATGTGAGCTTTCAAGGTTTTCAGTTTTGTTCCATTGAGGGTACAGACCCCCAAAGTTACTGGAAGTAGTTGGGGTACCTTGGGGTCCTAGCAGGGGCTTAGTAGTTGTCTCCCCTTCAATTATGATGTCTGCCCTGGGTGAATTGGCTCCCAGTGGGTGTGATCAGAAGGTTGGAATAGCTGGATAGTCATACAGCAACGTAAGATCTCAGAACAGTGTAGCATGATAGAGTAAGTGGACCCTCAGACAGAGTGGGTCTGAGATATTGGGTATAGCCTTGCCAGCTAGTCACTCACTGTAGGGACTTGGTAGAGATCCATTTTTTTCTGTCACACTAGGCAGAGCTTCTCCTAGCTGGGACAACCTTGAAAGTGAGCAGTCACTAGGAAGGTCAAATCTGGGGCCTTACTAGGGCAGTCACTACAGGGACCACCCCAAGGTACTGGCTCTAGCCTTTTAGCTTGCCGGTCTGTTCCTTTATCTATCCAATATGGATCCTTGAGGTCTTCAGTTTGCATCGTGCTGAGAGAAGCTGCCTAATTTGCTAGAAGCAGAGCTGTGGCATCTTAGGGCCCTGAAGGGCACCCAGTGGCTGTCTCCAAGTCCGAAAACTACTACCACAGTATCCCCTGCCTGGGCTGACATGGGTGAGGGCGAGTTGCACTGCTTGAGCTGACAGTGACCAAGCCCAGAATAAAGAATGCCAACCCGGCCATCCTTTCTGGATGCTGAGGGTGTACCTGCACCTGAGAGGATGCACCCTGACCTGAGAGATGTTCCTGGCTGGGGCCAGGAAGGGCCAGCTCTAATTCTCTGTGTGTTTGTTACAGACATAGCCAGGTAGGGATGATGGGGGCTCAGGCAGGGCCTGCAAAGGACTATAAGGCAAAGGGCAACTCAGAAAGATGGGACAGCACCTCTCTAGGGTGGGCCTGGACTTTTGGGGCAGGATGAAAAATGCAGTTGACGGTGCCCTGGCCCGGGTGTGTCCTAGCAGGCAGTCCTGAGCACTGACGTCCCCAGACAGCTCTGCTTGAGGTCTTGGGTGCTCCTCCCTACCTTCAGCCTCAGGCTCCTCCTTGGAACCAGGCCCAGGCCCCACTCATTCTTCCAGTTACCCTGAGAGACATTAGGTTAGTGGGGACATGAGGTCCCTGCTGAGGTCTGCCAATGTCCTTGTGAGGGGTGTTTGAGAATGAGTCCTTCTCACAGATGCTGTCTTTGGGGATAGAGGAGAACATTTGTGAGGAATGCCACCTAGACCCACTCAGAGCTGGTGCCAGCCACTCTGGGCTCCAAGGTGCTGGCCTGGGGGACTCCTTGCTGCCCTGTGCTTTGCCCTGAGACTGCACCTGGAGCTGCTGGGAAAGGGGCAGGACAAGGAAGGAGCCACAGTCATAGCAAAAAATGCAAGACATGGGTCTGGAGAATAAAAAGACTTTTGTCCTGAGTCTTTCCCATCCAACACACCTAATGGCTGTTTCCTAAGGTTGCATCAGCTGCAGGACTCAGGCCTACCCCCTCTGCTCAGCATTGTTGCCAAGTACTGTCTGACCACTCGGCCTTTGCTTGGCATGCCTTCTGCTTACAACTCTGTTACCAGGACCTTCTAGTCCTGAATAGCTAGATGTTGCCTCCAATGAGGTCCCCAGCTGCCAGGTCTGGTCATGTGACATCACTTGTGAGTGTGCCTGGGGTGCACTTGCTTACTTGAAAGAGCCTTGATTTTCAGCAAGAAAGCCAACCCATGTCTGTGAACAGGACTTTGAGCTCAAAGTTGGCACCCAGCCTCTGGTTGACTGAGTGAAGGTATGAGGGAGTGAAGAGGCAGAATGCTGCTGCTGAGCGTGGACCCACACTCTGTCCCGTGCCTTTACCCGTGGCGCTGGGCTGAGCCCCACATTGAGCCCCACAGCACTGTCTGCTCCCCGGGGTCTGAGGTTACGTACGTAGGACGAGGACTCCATGGCGCAGGGCCTGGACACGACCAGGCTCGATGGACATGCTGAATGTGCTGTGCTGTAAACTGTTCTGGGTCCCCACAGTGCAGACCCGGCCCTGCTCGTTGGCCTGCTGCACCATGACTGTCAGTTTGTTGGCAATCACAGTGTTTAGGATGGAGATGACCAGCATGGGGAACACAAAGGACATGAAGGTGTTAACCTGCAGAGAGCAAGAGGTGGCCATTAGTCTCAGGCATAGACCTTGTTTATCCACAGACCTGGGGACTATCATGCTCAGAGCTGGAGTTGGGAGGTACTTCCTAAGTTAGGAAGGCCATGCCCATCTAGCCTGCCCACCGGGCCAGGCCCTCCCCTGGAACTCCTCCTCAAACTCAGCTCCCACTCCAATCTGCTTGGAAATGATCAACATAGCCTCTGCTCCTGGATCCGGGTAAAACCCTAGGTGTTCTGACAAGGTTCTGGGCTCTGAGTCCTGAGTCTGGGAATAACATGTCCAGGACTCTAGAACTTAGCATGGTCTTTTCAGTGAGGCTGGGTCCTTGGCTCTCACTCTGCATGCAAACTGTTTGCACTGATGCCTCCATACATTCTCCCCCCCACCTGGTGCCTCTCAGAGTTCTGAAGAAGCGTAGCCCTACTCATCAGTCCAGGCTTTCTGCATAACTCTACATTTGGGGAAACCGAATCTCTGAGGTTCTTGTGGCCAATAACTCAGAAGAGGCTGGACATGGATTTGTTTTCTGACCTGTATGAGTTCAGCTGGTTTCTTCAGCAATGTCCAGCTGACCCTTGGAGCCACACAAATGTGGGCATGTCCTAATTGAAACACATAGAGAACATGGCCAGCACAAAACTTGTGACTTGTGATGAGGACAGTCATGACCAGATCCTGGGAAAGAGGGGAGTGGCCACCCAAAGTGCTGGAGTTGACTGGACTCCCTGGGCCTCTTTTGGGCTTGGGTGCAACATCTGTGAAGGCCTTGCCTCCACTCCCAGGTAGCCACAGACCATCACTGGGAGGGGCTAGGAAAGAAGCCGTCCAAGTTGCCGTTTTGACAAAGCTCTGCTCAACAGTCAGGGCACAAACCATTCAAGGGACAGCATTTCTGCATGTTCTTGGTCAACACCATCTCCCTCTTGGGGCCTGTGTGCCTTCTCCAAGCTGTGTCCCCTCTGACATTGAGAATAGAGGATCTGTTCCATCCCCTGCTCCCCAGGCTCAGGGGCCAGAGCTGCTCCTGCCATGTTCTTAGCTCAGTCCATTGGAAGCCCATGGAGGGTAGGCAAGAAGTTCTCTGATTGCTCTGGGCCCAGCTGTGCCCCATCCCAGGAGACACACTAATTCAATTCCTGGTGAGTCGTGGTGGAATTAAACACACAGAATGTATCCAACACAGATTTAAAATGTCAAAACATTTAAAATACCACACCTCGCTGAACACAGGCAGCAGACAGCTACCTCTGGGACCGGACAGAGCCAGAGCAGAGCAGCAAGACAGGGACAGGCTCTGGGCTCTCCCTGGCCCCCATGCTCCTAGCCCTAAGGTTCCCAGGCTGAGCCCTTTTCCGACCCTTGCCAGGTGGGGCCCAGCCTCCAAACTGTCTGCTTCCAACTTGCAGGAGCATCCCAGTCCTGTCCACACAGAACAGACTTGAGGAACATTTATGGCCTCTGCCAGCTTGAGGATCATGGTGAGTTCACAGTAGGATGCCTCAGTGCCATCCCACCTAACCAGATGCACCCACAGCATCTTCCAATGTGCCTGTCCAGACCAGCTCTGGGTGTCCTAGGGGGCTGACAGGGGCTGACCCAAGACTACCCTGATCTGTGACTCTAAGCAGTGTGGAGGGACACAGCCAATAGCAGGAAAGCAGGAGGGGCAGCAGTGCTAGCGACCTGCTGTGGGAAGGGCTGTCTCATCACAGCCGGGATGTGTAAATGCTGGGAAGACTCAGTGTTGCAGGTCTTTGGGAGGCGCAGCACACACAGCGTCTCTGCCTCCCTGTCTCTGTGTGTGTCTCCCCTGGTATCTCTCTCTTTGTTTTTCTCCTTCTGTTTTAGACATGTGTACCAACTCTCATGGGTGGCAGGACCTGCCTTTAGTGTCCTAAGGCCAGCTAGGGGAGGCTAGTGGACCCCAAGGGCATGCCAGCCTCTGGTGTCCTTGCACCCTGGCTGTTACTATCCCACTCTGTTCTGGATTGGAAATGCAGGGAGGGGCTCCAGAAGGTGGCAGAACACATGGGAGTTGGGGGCTGGAGGTTGCGGTGCAGACTTGAACCTTAGACAGACAGGAGGAGTCCTACGTCCTTGGGCAGCTTTGACCTGGAGCAAGTCCCAGTCAGATTCCAGGTTTAAGGTTTCTTATTGAAAGAGTGACCCAAGGTGCCCCCAACCATTGGGTGCCTTCAGTAGTACCCAGAATTACCATCAGGGTGGGCAAAGGAAGCAAGCTGAGGTTTCTTGTCAGGAAGCTTGGGTGGTTTCTATGAGGAATAGGGGTAGCCCAGCCGCTGGTCTTCCCAAATCTATATTTTTGTGCAGAAGGAGGAAGGCAGAATAGAGGGTAGAGAAGAAAAAAGAAGCAGTGGCCAGGGATGGTGAGTCCAAGCTGTACAAAGATGGTATGGGGAGTAGATTTATAGTCTGTCTGTCAACAGGCGAGGGTGCAAGCAGCTGGTAGAGTGTACCCCTGACTCAGGCCACCAAATGGTGGCCTTGGCCCCTGAGCTGGAGTTCTTACCCTCATCTACATTTCCCCTGCAGAACAATCCTGAGGCTTCCCCACCCCCTAGTTAAGCCCATTGTGTTTAGATAAAAAGTGGGACTCACTCACTCCAGCAAGCAGCCCACAATGGATGGGAAGGCGCTGAAGGGGTTGCAAGGTCTACGAGCTTCAAAAGACAGAAGGGTAAGGTATGAGAAGTTTCCTGTGCAGTCCTTCCTGGTGTGGTGACCTTCAGGACCAGCCCAGGTTGGCCTGGCAGGAGACTGTCTCATCTGTACGGGTGGCTGAGCCCCAGCCAGGACAAGTTCAGCAATGGTCTAGCCTGGGACAGACTGCAGATATAAGACAGTCTTCAAAGGCCAGCACTAGTAGGTTCCTGTGCTCTTACATTTCCTGGCTTCCCTTCTCCAGCTCTGCTGAGACTAGGGATGATGGTGTAATGCACATCAGAAGGACCCGATATCAAGGTTGTCAATGCAGCCTTGTTTGAAATAACAAAAACGGAATGATTCAAATGCCTGCCACCAAGGCAGCCGGCCAGTCCCCATGCATCTGCTCCCTGGGGCACTGGTTGGTACCAGGTGCCCCAAGATAACAGTTTATGAAAAGAGCAAAGGAAGCAAAGGGAAACATGATGGTTCCCCGAGTTCCTCTAAGGCACAGCTTGGCACTGCAGAAAACCTGACCAATCTGTTCGGAGGCTGGCAGTACAAGCTTCAGGTGTCCTTTTTGAATTGGAGCTGGAATAACTGGCTCACCGCATAGACTGGACATGTCTCGTACCTTACAGAAGATGCCCTAGTGTGAACAAGGGCCCCCATGCCACACCAAAGCCATCATTTATTCCCAGGTCTGGGAAATATTAGGGACAAAAGAAGCCTGCATCTGGTGGGTCTATTCTCATTTCACAGGTGGGCAGCTGGGGCCCAGAAAACAAGAGGGGGGGGGTCTCTTAAAGTGACCCCACCCAGAATTCTACAGGAGCAAGAGTGACTGCACAGCATTTGCTCTCAGGGCAGGATTGTGGAAGAAGACAAAGAAGACATCATCTCAGAGTCCCCACAGGATGCTTGAGAGCTGGGTTCTAGTCAAGTGGCTAACAGGGAGGAGAGGGCTTAAGGTACAAGGAAATTGCCGGAGCAGCTTCTTCTAGAATGAGTGTCCCAAGAGTGGCAGGCCCAGGATGCCATGTTGTCTCAGTCTCCGCTTGAACCCATGTTACCCTTGCAGGTATCTGGGAGTGGTGGCTTTGACCCAGACAAGCTCTAGGTATACCAGGACTGGAAACTGAAGCTTCAGGATTTGCAGCTCAGAAGGGAGACAAAGAGGCAGACTGGACCCCAGCCAGATGAAGTACAGGATGGAGTTCTTCATCTTCATGAGTGAGTGTGCTGAGTACATCCCTCGACTTTCCAGGTAGTACCTCTTTGGGCAGCTACCAGGTTAGGGAGCATCCAGTACAAAGGCTGGGAGTCCTTGGACACCTCTTGGAAAGCTTCTATCCACTTACTTACTTTGCCCCCACCCCACTGTTGGGCCCCTGTCCTTTTCTGGTTTGGAATTATTGGAAGAGGCTGGACCCCAGAGTCCAGTTGGGAGATTTGTGGGGTAGTTCTTAAATCCTACATGGGAGGTCAGGACCGCGGACAGCACCTACCTAAGCTGAAGAAGACTTCTGACAGTGTGTGGGCAGGACCCCACTGCCCTTCTGCTCCCAGCAGATGGCACGTACCACCCTCCCACCTCTCTGCGTACTGGCCACTTTCGATGGGCTGTCCAGAGGCGTGGAGGCTGCTGCCTAATTGTGGACTTGGCAACAGAAGGCCTTGAACATCCACATCCTGTCAGTGCCCGGCTGTGCTGGAGGCCTGGCACCAGTTTGGCTGTCAGGAGACCACTAACTCAGCCTGGAGGCCTCAATTGGATTAGGGAAATGGCCTTCTCAACAGCGCTGCCCTTGTCCCCACCTGTGCCAGGCCCGAGTGTCTGGGGAGGGCTCAGTGCCGCAGCATGGGTGCAGGCCACCGGGGTCCAGACCCCTCAGCACAGCTGGTGGTGTGGGGCTCGTTGACGGGGTGGAGGGCAGAAACACGCGACAAGACACTTCAGTGTTCCCAGCTCCTCTCAAAACTGGCCCCAAGCCGTCTGCATAGGGGAAGAACTCTTCAGGGCAGGGCAGACTGACATCTGTCTGCCACGCCTTCACATACATGTCATCCAAAAAGCCCATTAGAACGTTCAAATCTGTGGGACAGCCACTGAGGAACAACAAACGACTTCAAGGTCCCCGACAAGTTCAGTGGCAGTGCAGTCCAGAGTCGGTGGGCTGGGTACTGCTGGGCCCATAACCCCCACCTCTGTACCCGACATAGAGGAGCAGGAAAGGGCCCCAGGTCGTGCCTAAGTCTCACTGTGTACCAGCAGCCAAGACAGCAGCGCGTGGCTGAAATGAGTCCATGACTCTGTCCGT